TCTGATGTAGGGAAGTACAAGTACTGGTTGTGGTGGCTTCTCTTCCTTGTGGAGCTCTTGCAGTCTTCTAGCTAAAGCTTGTTCTACCATCACTCTGGAGTAACCATTCCGTTGAAGGTCATTTTTGATAATGCCTAGTTCCTTCTCGAGACCTTCCTTTGTATTACAGAGCCCGAAAACACGGTCTAGTAGATTCTTGATGATTCCCCTCTTAGTCGATTGATGGTGGTTGGATTCCTGGTTCAAATACTGTCCCGTATGAGTGGGTTTTCAATATACAGATGTTTCGATTCTCTTCACCAATACGTCTAAGAATGGAAATTCGTTGTGGACTTCCTTTTCCATTGTGAAAGTGATGTTGTTGATGTGCTTCAGGAAAGTGTCTAGTTCTGCATTTCCATGGTTCCATATTATGAAAGTATCGTCCACGTATTTTTTTTACAGATTCTTTAAGGGATTTCAAATCAATTTATATTATATCAGATAATGGAAGTCCGAACTGATGAAATGCACCACGAAACATTGTCAACCACCTTCAAACAGACGTCATCATCGTTTTGGATAGCATCACATTATTATTATTACCATTATGTACATATCTTTATGTTTTTGTCGTAGTTATTTTTGATCTTTGTGAGTTTTCCACATTTTTTATTGAACGATAGTGAAGAAGAAAGCCAAGAAGTTTATTTTTCTCAACATAAATGAATTAAAGCTGTGGAGGTGTTTGTGGTCATCGACAGCGAGCACGATATCTGGAAAAAATTCAAACTGTCAAATCGAATCCGAAAACGTCAAATTACATAATATTAAAAATGTCAGATCCAACAAAACGACCTCTCCAATTTCCCACGTGGCATATTCCATATCTCGAAAAGCACCGAATATATGAGCTTTTTCATGAACTCGCTCGGGAGTTGGTAATCCAGAAACCTGAAGATCATGTACTTTTCACCAAACAAATTATCTCGAATGCTGCCAAAAGCAGGGACGTCGCTAGAGTTATAATGTTGCCATCGCCACACTGTTGATTCTTAATAAAATAAAGAAATCCAACGTACTTCGGTATTCCATTCACAGAAGCGCTAAACTCACACCATTACATTTGGAAACGATTCTTGTTATATTTATTAACATATGTACAAAGTTGGGTCAATCTCATTTTTTGCGACAAGTGATTTTGACAGAACAAAAGCGAATTTGTAAAACTTTCATATTAGTCAGTGGGCTATGCTTAAAGACTGGCAGTAAACAAATCTAAAGAAATGAACTTTAAATGTTCGCTCCAACTTAAGACGAGGAATGAAATACTCTGAAAGAATTTCGATGTTCAATTCTGTTTAAATCTGTTTAAAATCTGTTTTTCCGTTAATCAGCAATCCAATTATGGAATATCATTGACTTTAGGTTGCACTGACGAGTGGCTAAGGAACTCGAAACCGATCTGCGGATATAATCCAACGCCGTTCGTGGTATTAGCCAGTGGAGTAATTATTTTCTGGTAGGCGTCAGTCCATTCAACCTACTGCGTAGGTATATCCGAGACTGGCTTGAACATTTAAAGTTCATTTCTTTGGATTGGTTTACTGCCTGTCTTCAAGCATAGCACACTGACTAATAAGAAAGTTTT